GGGAGCAGACATGGAGAGCAGTGGTGGTGGTGGATACTAGGGGTGGTGGCTTTGGAATTGTGGGACTAAGATGCCAAGTAGCCCCTGGCCTCAGAGAACCTGGGCTGAGGTCAGAGCAGACTTACCCTGGAGGTTCTTGAGAACATGAATTCTCTTAAGTTTTCCAGTGAACAGATGGTTCCTTGGTGAGAAACACTTAGAACATGTTATACAGGAACGTCAGCCCTCTCTCCACACTCGTCCTCACCAAGCCTGAGTGCAGTAAGGGCACCGGGGAAACCTGCTTATCTGTGTTATATGCACAGTTTTCCAAACTTTCTAGTCCACAGGACACATCCCGCTACTGCCTCACACCTGTTAGCTCCCTCTGGTGTTGACTTTGAGGAACGGGGAGTGGGGGGCTGCTTTGACAAAGGGATCCAGGTGGCAGATATTTGCCTCATCCTGTCCTTTGTCACACCCCTACGAAATTGGTTCTCTTTCCCCCACTGGAAAAGCATGTCTGCTTGCCTGTATTTGACCTAGTGCTTTTGTCTGCTGTAGTGTATGTTTATGGTGAATTTCCAAGGGACCAGTGGACAGTTGAGATGGGAGCCACCAGAAGGGGTAGAAGGTGGTGGGTGGCTGAGTGAGCTCTGGGGGTGGAGGGCAAGGCAGCCTCTTGGCAGAGTGGGGCAAGGTGCCTCCCTTCGTCCAGTTGCTCAGGACAGGGAAGAGAAGGGGTGTGGAGGCCCTGCCTGTTCACCCATCCTACCCGCACTCTGCCTGCAGGTGAAGGAGGAGTGCCGCCTGCTCAACGCACCCCCTGTCCCTCCCCGGGGGGGTAGTGGCAGCAGCTGGCTCTCAGGAAGCCCCCCTGTGCCCCCGCGCTTTCCCAAGCTGCAGCCTGTCCATTCACCCAGCTCCAGCCTCTCCTTCTACTCTTCTGGCCTTCAGGATGGGTGAGTCCCGTCTTCTCAGAGGTGGGTAGAGCCAGGGGGTGGGGCTGGTACAGTGCTGAGGAAGAGGAAGGCTTCAGGCCTGGGGCTGCTGGGCAGCAGGTCAGGGTCCCATGATGCAGCCTCCGCTTGCCTGCTTTCCTACTTGATGGGGCCTGGAGAGGAGTCTCCATCTCCCAGGCCCTATTGCTGCATCACTGCCCAGCCATGCTGGGATCCAGAGGTCACCTGCCTCACTGCCCGCCCTCCATCTCCACCCGCAGGGCAGGCTCCCGCAGCGGCAGTGGCTCCCCGTCCCCGGATGCATACTCCCTCTACTGCTACCCTTGCACTTGGGGTGATTGCAAGGTGGGCGAATCTTCCAGCCGCCCAGTTCCAGGACTCCTGCCCTCGACCACACAGCCCAGCCAGGCCTCTCGGGCCCACGAGCCCCTGAGCAGTGGCACTGCCGCCTCTGTCTTGGGGGCTGATATACCTGTCAAGACCTACAATGGCTGCCCGCCCCTGTTCAAATCCTCCCACCCCCAGAAACGCTTTGCCCCCTTTGGAGCTCTCAACCCCTTTTCCGGGCCCGCCTACCCGGCAGCCCTGTCCACGGCCTCCTCTTCTGGGCCTACAGCCACCTCCAGCCCTGCGTATTCTCCAGGTCCAGCCTCACCCCGCAGGGCCTACCAAGGTGCCCCTGGCTCCTCTGCCCCCACTTCCTCCCCCTCCTCTTCTGAGTGGCAGGACCCAGCTGCGGAGCCCTTTGACCCCTTCGAGCTAGGCCAGGGCGGCTCCCCAGAGCCTGAGCTGCTGCGCTACCAGGAACCCAGAGCTGTGGGGGGACCTGGGCCTGGACCTCGTCTTTCACCCCTCAGTCCCCCTAAGACCTTTGAGCCTGAAGGTCTGATGCTGCGACAAGTCCCGACCCCTCTGTCAACTGCTGTCCTTCAGGGACCTGAGGCAGGCGGGGCACGGCTCTTTCTCCCCCAGGGGCGCCTGGAAGGGCCCCCTGCCAGTCCCCGGGACGGTGGTGCCCCGGGATGGGGGGGCCGGGACGCCTCCTCCTGGCAGCCCCCAGCGGACCTGTCTGCGCTCTCTCTGGAGGAGGTCTCCCGCAGCCTGCGCTTCATTGGGCTCTCTGAGGACGTGGTGAGCTTCTTTGTCCGAGAGCGCATTGACGGTAGCATCTTTGTGCAGCTCAGTGAGGACATCCTGACGGATGATTTCCACCTCACCAAGCTGCAGGTCAAGAAGATCATGCAGTTCATCAAAGGCTGGCGGCCCAAGATCTGAACTGCCCGGCTGGCCACTGTACCCATGGAATGTTGGCTCGGAGGCCCTGAGGAGCAAACCCCAGAGTGGCCGATGGCCTGCCTTCAGGGAGAAGCCACGGCAAGACTGAGGCAGCCTGGCAGGGTGGAGAAGGGGAGATGCACTTGGGAATGTGAGCCTCGGCATGGGGGTGTCTAGTTTTCTGAGTGTGCAGGGCAGGAGAGGAGGGGGCCTTCTGAGTGTGTAGGCAGGAGGGGAGGGGGCCTCTGAGTGTGCAGGGCAGGAGGGGCAGGGGCTGGAGGTGGCAGTGCACAGGAGCTGAGGCCTTTGCTGTAGTCCCCCTTGGGGGCGAGGGGGGGGCGAGCTGGCCGGCCTGCCCTGTGGCAGAGCTTCACCGAGATCTTGGACCTCTAGATCACGTGGGTGCACGAGAGACAAGGGAAGGAGTCCCTGATTTAAGCACAGATTCCCCAAGTGCCCTCTATCCTGTGGGCCCCGTGGGCTTTGGCCCTAAACCTCCTCAGAGTCAGAGGGACTGGTGGCTGGGTCTCTGGGGGGCCCTTTCCTCCCACCCCGCCCTGGTTCCACCTTGACTGAAGCTCCTGGCTGAGAGCAGGGGTGAACCCTGTCCAAGTGTTGGCCCAGCACCTGAGAAGCCCTGCCCCTCAGTGTTCTGGCCGGTGGGTGCCAGTGATGTTGACAAGCACAGCTCTGCCCTTGACCTACTTACGTAGTTAGGGAGGCAGGTGTTCCCAGACGCCTCTCGCGCCTGGCAACTGCTGATGCTCTCAGGTGGTACTCTGTCTCTGGCTCTGCCTCCATGGAAAGCAGGCAGCTGAGGTGGGCTTCCTGATGCTCGAGGGAAGTGGCGCTCGGTCCCATCCCTTGATCATGGACACAAGGGGCCCCTCCTTGTTGGCATTGTCTCACTGCACACCTATAGGTGGGCTTGGCAGAGGTGTCACTGGGTCCAACCAGCCACCTCCTACCTGTTCCACTAACCAGAGCCACACTAATTCTCCTTGGGCTCACTAGCACCAGGGGTCCCTTGGTACCAACCTTTTCTTCTGCCTTACCTTATCTACATATTTATTTCCTTGGTGTTTCTGGTGCCTGGGGCCGAGCAGGCAGGTTGGGCCCTGAGGGAGGGCAGCCCAGAGGTGGAGCACACAGAGCGAGCGGGAGGTTGTTGGCTTTGTTGCAGGAGTCACTGATCCTGGAGGCCTTGTGAAATAAACGCTAGATCACTGATGTATATTCTGAGTGTGAGGGGTCTGGTGTCATCTGCTCTTTCTTGGGGAGGACTTTGGAATGGTGTGTGCACAGGGCCCGTTCATAGTGGTTTCCCTTGAACCAGCTGGAGTGCCAGCCTGCTTTCTGTTCAGAAATCCCCACCTGCCCTGACCCTGTTGTGTGCCAGGGTGCGCTGCCAGCCACCCAGGGCTGCTGAGTGTGGCACTGCCAGCCATAGCCCTGGCTTCCCTGGCCAGATGCCCACCCGGGGTGCTCAGGGGCTGCACTGCATGGCTCGGGCAAGGGGCAGCCTGAAAACCCCAGAGAGGGAACTGGATGTTAGGGTCTGGCTTCCTAGCAAGTGCCAGTGTTGCCCAGAGCCAGAGCTAAACCTCTCCCCTGGCAGCCCCATCGAGAGCTGGGAGAGGGACCCGGGCAGGAGGAGGGGCTATCTGAAGGTTAGAAATCATGGAGTGTGGCAGGCAGAGGTGTCACTGGGATTCTTGGCACATGCCGCAGTGGGGCTCCTCCTGCCAGGTTGGTAGGATCCACCCCCCCCCCAAGTGTTTACTATGCCCTCAGCCCAGCAGGACCTTTCCACACCTGCGGGGGAGGGGATCCTCGGGTGGTAGAGGAGGCAGAAACGGTGACAACACCTGAGCTTGGGCAGCAGAAGTGAACATTGGGGTGGCGTCCCCTCGCTGCCTCTGCTGAACTCCAGTGCACGAGTCACACTAAGGCTAGGCTGGCACAGGTCTCAAGGGAATCCCAGCTTGGGTGTGTCACCTCTGAGGGTCCTTGGGTTTGCCCTGACCACTCACCCGCGGGCTGGTGGTGAGAATGTCCCCACATGGCAATCTGTTGTAAGGTTCCCAGCCAAGGTCACCCTCTGGGGCAACCTCACACTGCGTGGGTCTGGGTTTGTGCCAGACCGGCATTGCTGTTCTTTCGGGCACATGAGCCAAAGTGCGTAAACCAGGCCCGAGGGGCTCCAAGCACAGGTGCCACTCTCGCCCTCGGTGCGCCCCCCCCACCCCCACCCAACACACACACACAGGCCCGGCAGACAGAGAAACAGGAGCCCATGGAGAGGCTGAGCGTCTGGGTTTTATTGTTCTCGTGATCAGCTGGCTGCAGAGCCGCCCTACCAACCCCCCAGGCCCCTGGGCAGGAAGGGGCAGCAGAGCTGGCTCCACAGCCGCCGCCGCCTTGGGCTTCAGGGCACATAATACAAAGTCCCGAGTACAGGGTTGGCCTCCCAGCCCCTAAGTCACAGGCCACAGAGGGCAGGCCACAGTCACAGTTGAAGGCACTTTAGTCAAAGGGCAAACCTGGTTTTCCCCGGTAACTGACATCTAGACGCCCGCCCGCAGCCCTGTTAGTGCGCTCACTGAGCACAGGCCCGAGGGCCACTCAAGGGTAGAACTTCTTGAGGCTGGCCGCGTGGTCGGTCAGCAGCTGGCACGGCGTGAACTGTTTTCCATAGACAGCCTCATACTTGCGGAGCCGGTCCACAATCTTCTGCGCGCCGTAGAGGTCCACAAAGCGGAAGGGCCCTGCACGAGGAAACGGGGCTGGTTGGAAGCGAAGGCACTTCCAATTGGGGGATTCACGCAGTTAACTGCCCCATTCATAAGACCAACCTCCAAGACATGGCGGGAAGCCCAGCCCAAAGACAGCTCCGATGTCTCCCTCGGCGGGGGTGGCCAAGATCCCTTCTTGTAGGCACATGACAGCCTCATTCACAAATCTCGTCACCAGCCGGTACTGGATGTCCTCATCAGAGGAGCTGTCAGCAGAAGACACGGGGTTGGTGGGGTAGAGCTCTGGGGTCGGACAGCACTGGGCCTCCGCTGAGTCCTGGGGCCCTTGTTCCCCTCACCCCCAGGACCCTGAAACAGCTCCTAGAATGGACCTGGCATACAGTAGGTAATCAGTTCAAGTCTCCTGACTTTAGCAACTGTCCATGCCCCAAAGATGGTAATAAAGGATTTGGGTGAGTGCAGGGCCGAGGACAATTTGCCTAGCTCTACCCTGGCACCTTACCGGCCAGGGCTGAGCAAGGGCTACAC